TTTATTGTTGAATAATATAAAAAATTTGAAGATATCATAAAAATTTGAAAAAAAAAAATATCAATGTTAATATCAAATCAACTATTTAAAAGTTTTAATTTTTTATATAATTTTTTAAATTTATTTTTGTATTATAATTTAATTTAAGTTCAATAATGAAATAATTTATTTTTGGTTTAATAATATAATATTTTATAATAATGATAATTCAGTATTCTATTAGAACTCAATGATTATCCTAATTATATTTTAGATTTTTTATATTTAAAATGAAATATTTATCTTGTATTTAATTATGTTTATCCTGTATTTGATTATGTTTATCCGCAGTTAGTTACACGAATTTAGATATGAAGTTTTAATAAGTTGTACTTACGCACAATATACTTGTAATCTTGAGTTTTAAGTAATATGTATTAATAAACAGTACTTTATGTATAAAAAATGGTTTTTAAGAGATTGTGTCAAGTGTTTTATAATATAGTATAAATTTGTTAATTTTTTAAAATAAAGTAATATAATATGCCAATTTTACTTGAGGTCAAATTCTAAGACTCATAAAATATGAAGAATGTGAGGAGAGACAAAAATGTTATTTTTTAAGAAGATCCAATAACTTATGGATTAAAGTAATTGGGTTGGGTTTACGTGAGGCACGGCTGTTTTCGTGAGATATGATTTTTGCACTTAAATTTTACAATAAAATGTTGTGAAAGTAAACAAAAAAAGCTGAATCTTCACAGCAAATACACTGTGAATGTTACTTTCACAGTGTTTTGCTATGAAGTTTCAAGTGTAAAAATCATATCCCACATATGTTACAAAAAAACAATCTTGTCCCAAGTCTAAAGTAATTAATACCATCGCAAAAGTTACTATCAAAATAATGATCAAATTTTTTTGTATAAAAAACATTTAAATATTTGTGTAAAGTCATTATAATCATTTGTCAACTGAGTTAAAATACAATATTTAGTGTATTTCGAATGATTTCAAATTGTTAAAATTTGACGAGGTAAAACTAAGGTGTCGTTTACCAAACGTTTATCTGGGTAAGCGCTTACTAAGTCACTTTATTTTACCGGTGAATATGACAAGGACTAAAAAATCTTACCCGGTAAGAGCGAAAGCAAGAATCGAGAGTCTTGCACGGTAAGTGAGGACGAGGACTCTTACCGGGATAAATTGTTGCATACGATGTGTTTTAGTGAATAAAAACTTACCCGGTAAGTAAGCGATAGTGTTGAATTTTACCGGCAAGTGCTTATCGGGTAAGTGTTTAGGTAAACGACGGCTAAAATAATGTTATTTTTAATCAATAACAAAAACTATTATAAAGAATAAAAGTAATATCATTTTTATGGTACTGAAATTATATAATGTAATTTTTAATCCAAAAATATATTTTATTTTTCACATTTTAGGCTATGTTTTGCTCTGAAAAATTAGTTGTTAGATAAATTAATTGTCGTCTGAAAAATTAGTTGTTAGATAAATTAATTGTCGTCTGAAAAATTAGATCATAAATTTAATCATGTTTGATAAAAAATATCTGATAAACTAGAAGATAAATATAAATCAACTTGTAAGGATATGTTAGTCAATTCTAACATTAAATTATATAACTAAAACAAATAATGAGATTTGGGATTACATGAGACCAGCCTGTTTTCGTGAGGCCTGTAAGATCATTCTTTTACACTTAAAACTCTACAACAAAACGTTGTGAAGGTAACCTTCATAGTATTTTTGCTATTAAGGTTCGGCTTTTTTTTTTACCTTCACAACGTTTTGCTGTGAAGTTTCAAGTGTAAAAAATTGGTTTCACGAAAACAGTCTGGTCTCACGTGAATCCAGCCCTACATTTTATGATATTAAAATAAATACTGATAATTTTTTTTTCCAACTATATAAGTTTAATAGACATTCCTTGCATCTCATCCATACGTGTAACATTATTATGAATTTCTCGCATCTCTAATTCATCTACTCCAACGACTTTGACTCTGACTCCTAAACTCTGAGCACTTCACAAACTTTGATGTCTTCAAAGTGTGAAGGTATCACCAACTTTATACTTTCAAACTCTGATGATTCCATCTTTGAACGCTACAACTCTGACAACTCCAAAATTAAAAAAACTGATCATTCAAACAATGAAACATAAACTACTGCAATCACACATGAACACATGAGATATGGTTATTGAATGCACATAAAATATGATACATTGGTCCTAGGGCAATTGTTGAAGCAAAGTGAACCCTTCTCTGAACCGCTCATTTTTGTACAAACTGTCCAAACTAGCATCAACCAATAGCATAATTTCCTTTATTTTTAATTCATAAGGGTATGATTGCCTTTTGGCTTTATAATAGATAATTTTAGTAATATTTTAACTGTGTCTAAATCGGGAAGATTATATAGATTAAAAGTTTTTTAGGAAATGATCAAATCAATTTGTTTTTATAATAATCTTGAAATCGGTAAATTTTTAATAGATACTTACTAATTGTTCAATTAAACAGGGTAATTTTCAATGAAACAGACTCAAATTGTTCAATAAAACAGGGTTATATATGATTGTATTAGGTTCATATATAATTGATGAAATTTTTTTGGTCCTTATTTATTTCTAATGATGATCCATAAATATAGCATTTAATTTGAAATTGACTGTATTTATATGATACGAGATCATATCTATAGTATTTTATTTTATTTTGAAAACTCGATCTCCAGTTTGTTTGGTAATAAATATTCTTCCAAATTTTGTTTTTTAAAGTAACTGGTCTTTATCATAGGAATACAATTTGTTTAGTTTTTTTTTCTTTTGAGACATGTGGAATTGATCGATTATATTTCAGTATTTCTACGAAACGAATCTAGACCTATCAGAATAAACATATAAAATACAATCACGAGGATTATTAACTAATACGAAGTGTGAGGGAAAATATAGAATTTGTTCTCTCCTACGAATAATTTTTTGTGGAATCTCTTGTAATAATCAATAATAAGTGAGGTTCCCATTGCAATATGGAACAAAAAGGACAATATAAACCACAAGGGTAGTGAACGATTGGTTTGAGTTTGGATCCAAAAGTTAAAAGTACTGGAAGGTCCCAGGTTCAAATCCAAGAAGGAATAAAAGTTCCCTTGTGGCCACGGAGGTTCAAATGCGGTAACTCCGGGCTATTTACAAAGCAGGTGGTCGCCCTGGGATTAGTCGGCTAGCATAGCAGGTTAGATATCCAGGTTAATAAAAAAAAAAGGACAGTATAAAGATTAGTAGAAAGGGTTGTGAAATACGTCTCAAGGGCTGTAAAATATGTCTCAATCCAACAGAGGATCCATAGGATTAATTGTGGATCCAACACGGCAAAGAAATATCTGAGTTGTTTTGTCTTCGAGTTTTTATTTGAATTTTCATATATCTATACTATATAAGTCTGTATCGGTCTAACATATATGCATGTCGGATTCGAGTAATTCCTTTTAGTAGAATACTGGGTCGAGCTTAATTGAAATTCAATTAGTATAACGAACATCCATCGTCACAAACTCAAATTTGATTTGTTTCCATATGTTACGAGCAACAACTAGTCCAAGACTCCATCTGGTAGCTTGACAAATAATTTCATTATTCTCAGTAGCAAGATCGGTATTGCGTCCCCTTATTGCGAGCTTGTACATGTGCTTTCAAAGCGACTCAATTAGCTACAACACCCTGCTCATTTCTCCAATCCATCGTTTACGTTCTGCCACCGAACTTTTAAGGTTGTTAATGTCCCCTTTTCCGAGAAAGGAAAATAGGAACAAAATTAATAAATCGAAAGAATGGAATTTGACTTAAAGAAAGATATTTTCTTTCTTTCTATAGAGAAAAGGGAGAACTGTTGTCATGATTCATAAACTAATAATGCAACGTCTAATTGGATTTCGTTATTGAAAACATTAGGTTGAGATATCTATTACATTCGATGCTCTGCCTTCAGTAACCCTGTGGATTGTAGGCAAGATGTTAGGTTTTTTATGGGAAGAGAATTTGACTTCTACAAGTCCGTTTTTTCATGTCGGATGAAGTCTGGGGCTGTGGTGGTTTGTACTGGTGCTTGGTGGATATGTTCGTAGTTAGTTATCCATTTTTCTACATCATTGAATTGACTGAGCATTGCTTTGTTGGATGCATGTTCATTCTTGGTGTTTGGAATCGAACATTTCGTTGGTGGAATATGATGGATATCAACTTGCAGTCTGCTGACGACTTCTTTACATTGGAGAATCATAACTACATTTGTATCGCCTATAAAGAGTTTTGGCAGGCGATAATATTGAGAAAAAACATTTGGATTATTTTTTGATTAATTAGAAGAGGAAACGGTTACATTTAGTTATTTCTTTGCATTTCTTTTGTTGTTGGTATGATGATTTTGTTCGTCTCTTGATTTCCACACCTTAATAACCCATCTACTTTTTTATAGTTTTTTTTTATTAACCTGTATATCTAACCCGCTATGCGAGCCGATCAATCCCAGGGCGACCACCTGTTTTGCAGATAGCCCGGAGTCACATCATTTGAACCTCCGTGGCCATAAGGGGATTTTTATTCCTCATTGGATTTGAACCTGATACCTCCTGGTACTTTTGACCTTTGGAACCAAGCTCAAACCAATCAGACACCACCCTTGAGGTTAGTTTTATTTTATGTCTGTATTTCAAAGAAAATTAGTAAATTATATTAATTGATAATTTTAAATAACCTTTGTATCATGATAATTGAATTTTAGAAATATTAACCATAATTATTAGAATTAAAATCAAATACTATTTATGGAAACAAATGAATACGATTTGCCAAAATACATGAATGCAATAAAATGAGTAGGGTTTGTTTCGTGAATAAATAGCTGAGACATAAACCCGCCCTCATCTCAGTTCAAATTCCCAACGGTCGACTCTCACAAAACCCTATCGAGCTTTTCTTCATCTCCACCGCCATTGCCGATCCTTCCATCGTCGTCTCTGACATACAACGAGGAAAAAATGGTGGTCTCGAAGCAAAACTATGAGGATTTGCGTAAGCAAAGGTTGGAGGAGAACAAGAGAAGGATGGAAGAACTGCATCTTCCTCAGCTCTCTCAAGCTCTGAAAACCGCTCACTCCCCAAAGCCTTCTCCGGTTCGTTCCTACTCTCTCTCTCTCTCTCTCTCTCTCTATATATATATATATATATGTATATCCGTCTGTGTTAATTTTTTCGAGAATGAACATTAGCAACGAATTAGCATAAACCCTAAACCCTATTTTATCCTTTTAAAAAAATAGTCCTGATCAATTCAGGATTTGTGTACAATGTTTCAAAATTGGATACTTATTTCTTACTATGAGCTAAACTTGGTTATCTGTGTGATGATGAAAGATGAAGCGTACAAAACCTCGTGTGATTGGGACAGAAATGGTGGAGGTGAGGAGATCAAGTCGTGTTGCAAACAAGCCTGCCCCTGTTTACAAGGAAATCGTATGTTTTTCTTGTTTCCTTTCCCTCTTAACTTCATTGTTTTGCTTTCTGTTTGTGAACAACAACTAGCCACTATTAGGGCTTTTTTTTTTTTGAATATATGTACGGAAAAAACTCACACGCTCTCACATAGTCACATTTGGCGAGACTTGAACCTGAACCCTTGATCTCCAAGAAGGGTGGATGCTACTGGGCCAAGAACCCTTGATCTCCAAGAACCCTTTTTTGGTGTTGTGCACACATTTGGAAAATGGTAAAGACACAAGAACCATTGATCCCTTTGGGTGTTCTTTTGTAGGTGGTTTATGAGCGAGTTGACTTACCAAGGAGGTAATCTTCTGTCTGAATGAAAGTATTAACTTATTGTTATCCCAAGAAAGTAGTCCATATGATTTTGATTGCCCATTGAGGTTTTCTTTACATCAAACTGGGAAGATCTATATTTTTTCATAAATATTGATTACTGCATTTATATTGGTAGTAAAGTTGAATAGAATAGAAACATTCTGCTTGTAAATTAGAATTTGAAAAGTAACTGCTTTGAATCTCGAGAATCATAAGTGTGCTCTTTTGGGGACAAAGGGAATGCTCAGTGTTTAGATTGTACGTGTGTAGTAGTAGAAGGTATACCTATTCGCGGAGGGACCTGGCAAACCGGGTTTATGCATCTGATGAAGCTAGGGAGTATGCTATAAACAAAGCCGATGAACTTGAAGCTATGCTTGAAGGTGGTCATCCTTCATTTGTCAAGCCCATGCTTCAGTCACATGTGACCGGCGGATTTTGGCTGGTTAGTTCTTACTCCTCTTGTTTTTCCCTTTTCTTCCACAAATTTACTTCAATTCTAGTCATTGATCATCATAGACAACACTTGTAAACTGCAACCATTTATATGTTGGCATGTTCATTTTGAAACAACCACTTTATCCCTGGGGGTAGAGTCAAAAGTCTTTTTACATCCTACCTTCCCAAGACCCTACGTCTGTGTGTGGTTTACTGGGTTCGTTTGTTTTAGTTTGGTTTATATAGGTGTGTTCATTTTGAAACAACCTCTCTATCTCTTGGGTAGAGGCAAAGTTTGCTTACATCTTACCTTCCCCAAACCCTATATCCGTGTGAGGTTTACTGGTTCATTTTTTTTGGTATGGATTATACTGGTATGTTCATTTTGAAACAGCCTCTCTATCCCTTGGGTAGAGGAAAAGTGTGCTTACATCCTACCTTCTCCAATCCCGATATCCATGTGAGGTTTATTGCGTTTGTTTGTTTTGGTTTGGCTTATATTGGTTACGTTCATTTTGAAACAGCCTCTCTATCCCTTGGGGTAGAGGCAAAGTCTACATCGTTCTGAGGTTTAATGGGTTTGTTTGTTTTGGTTTGGTTTATACTGGTATGTTGCACATAATCAAGAATGGGTTGTATGCAAGAAACCGTGAGATGTTGATATGACTGATGCTTATTGACATGGATAAAACAGGGTCTCCCAGGTCATTTCTGCAGGAAAAACCTACCAAAGAAAGATGGAACTGTCACCTTGATAGATGAAGAAGGTGAAGAGTTCCCAACGGTCTACTTGGCTCACAAAGCTGGTCTTAGCGGTGGATGGAGAGGGTTTTCCATATCTCATGGATTAGTTGATGGAGATGCACTCGTTTTCCAGCAAACAAAACCGACTGTTTTTAAGGTTTGACTGTCACAATAGAAAGATCTTCAAACTTATCTTCAAGTACATGCTGGATATTCTTATTCATACTTTCTTCCATTTTTAAAGCAAGTTGTTAGATATTCTTGATGAATATTTTCCTCTTTTCTCTTGGAAGCCGATTGTCATCAGATTATGGAGAATTAATCATCAGCTCCAAACAACCGATATAATTCAATCTTTCCTTTCCTTGCAGGTATATATTATAAGATGCAAAGATTATCAAGAGGGTGAAAAAAATGATGTTTCGGATGCTTAATTAAGTGCACAAATTAACATAGGTGATCCTCAATTCTCTCTAGTTTCTACTTATGTTTTTACCTTGGATTTGCATGTGGATTCATAATGCATGCACGTATTTTGGCTTGACGCTAGTGAAATTAATCGTTAGGATCTCTGGAACCCCTTTGAATTTATTTCTAAAAGGGCTTTAATGAGAGAAGTGTGGTATATATCCGTATAGCTTATGTGGGACTCCAACATTAATACTGTAGAACTTAAGTATTAAGAATGAATATCAGAAACTGATTCATACTAGTTAATAAGCGAAAAGCTTCCATTGTGCCTTAAGGATTTATCTTGCTTGGAAATGCCTTCATGGGCTGCATTTGGTGTGCAAACAATCATATATTTGTTAGTTGCATAGAGACGATAATTTGTAGCATCCGTCCATGTTTCGTTACAACTTTATAGCGTTGTGTCAAGTGTCGTGTCTGACTCATCCGGATAACATTAAGTCTATTCACCATGTCTTTTTTTCTATATTTGAACCTTGGATAATGTAATCTGCTTTCAGAAGACATGGCTTAATAACAAGTACTGATTTCCTTTTTTGTTTCTCTTGCCTGTTTAGGTTTCGGTATTATTTAGTTGGATGAAATTGAGCATGATTTTGGAGATATGCGATCGAGTTCTGTTCGGCTTCTTGTATGTAAAGTCTAGGACTGCCCAAGGTTCAATTTCTTTTGTAATGTATGAAATCTGAAACCATAGTAGTAGCTTTGTGTTGTCATATCTCAACCACATATGATATTCATTTTCCCATAGCAATGACATGTTGATTGTCCTTTGTTCCTTTTCCTTTTTATTAACCTGGATATCTAACCTGCTATGCGAGCCGACTAATTCAAGGGCGTCTAGCTGCTTTGCAGATAGCCTGGAGTCACCGCATTTGAACCTCTGTGACCACAAGGGAATTTTTATCCTCCCTTAGATTTGAACCTGAGACCTCCTGATACTTAACCGTGGAGGTGAGGTTCCAACATATATAAAGACGCATCTAATCAGATATTTAGTTGATATAGGAACTCAACCAAATAGAGTGCATATAGTCCTTCGATGGTGTTAGATGTTGGCTATGATACTATGTTAAAATATTTGGGAAAATTTGATTTGCATAAATCAAGGGGAATGTGTGTTGAAAAAAATGGTTGGGATTGAAGGTGAGACAGCATGGAGTGGTTGAGAAGTTAAGTTGTATGATTGGACAGAGTGTTTTTATGACAGATGGATCCAGCAAACCCTGTCCAAGTCCTTGTCCAGCTTGGAAAACAAGTAACCCACACACACACTTTACCCCATCCCCTTTGACCTTTCTTTATCATGTCTCATTTATGTCTTTTCCATTTTATAGATTAATAATATAACGAGTGGTGTTCTGTATACATCTATTTATATCAAAATCAGATTAAATCATATATTGAAAGAAGAATGTTGTATACACCTCTTTTAAATTAGAATCGGGTTAAGTAAGACATTGAGAATGTAAAAAGTAGGTCTTGATGTTGATGAGTGCTAGTAGAGATGGCTAAAAATCAGTCTCGGGCCCAAAATTGCTTCTATAATTGGTCCCGACGTAATTGGTTCTGGTCCCATGGCACGGTCTATGTGTTTTGTAACCGGTCCCGGCCCAAACCCATCCCAGTTTTTCTTTTTTCCAAAAATCAATCTTAAACTAAAAAAAAGCGTGCTTGAAGACTTTTTTTTTGATAATATCTTATTGAAATAGACTTTAAAATCTCGAATTGGTCATTCAGATACACTTTAAAAATATTTTTTTAAATCATTTTTACACAAAAATGTTAAAGATTTTTTTATAATTATGATTTTTGAGATTTAGTATTGAAACATTTACAAAAACCTAAAAAACATCGAAAGAAATTTGAAAAACTTGTAAAAATCTTGAAAACTATATGATTTATGAAAGTTCTTTTTCTAAATCGGGCCTATGTATAACCCGTCTCAGGTCAAACCATGAATTTTCCAGAAAAGTGTAATTGGTTAAGGATCGTTGGGCCAGTTCCGGTCACGGGGTCAGACCGAGCCCATTTAGCCATCTCTATGTGTGAGGATGAAATTAGTAGATAAAGATGTAATTAACAATATATAATAGCATCTCCAACAGATATACTATAATAAGGTATCAAAAGTCAAAATCTTAAAAAAAAATTACATCTAATTTCAATATTTACTCTATTTTAGCAATTATAGCGTTGACTATATTATTAAAATATTTTTTCTATTTTATAAAATATATTTTTTTGATACCTCTTATTGATGGAAAAAATAATTAAAATAATATTTTTCTCTCTCTAATATAGAGTTTTAAAGATTTCTTTAAAGTTTTTATATTTTTATATTTTCATATTCTCTCTATTCTTTTTTTTTTTCTATTTCACTTTACAATATAGCATGCTCTTGAAATAAAAAAAATTCTCTTCAAAATCATCAAATTTTTTTTTTATTAACCTGGATATTCAACCCGCTATGCGAGTCAACTAATCTCAGGGGGACCACCTGCTTTGTGGATAGCTTGGAGTCACCACATTTGAACATCTGTGGCCACAAGGGGATCTTTGGATTTGAACATAGGGTTGGTTCCGGTGATAAAAAGAGTTAAAGTGAGAAGCGTAAGAAGTGATCTCTACCCTTGGATGCACATTAGGATGAGATGCATCGAGATTTATCGGATCAATCTCCACATCAAGCGTCATTCATGGGTGGGTTTGAGATTAAAGATGATTAAGGGTCCAGATCTTTTCTTACGTTTCTCACCATAAATCTCTTCTTACTGAACAAGATTTTAGTTCATCAAAACAATATCGTATGCAACAATTAATCCGATAAGTGTTAATCGGGTAAGAGTCGTCACTTTCACTTAATAGGTTAGACTCCTGATTCATGTATCATAGTCTTTGCCATTTTTATCCAATAAAATAAATAACTTGATAAATATTTATTTGATAAGCGTTTGATAAAAATAATTATTTTCTTTTTTATTAATTAAACGTGGACCATGTGATTGGCTTCCGAAGTGAAGTCAGAATTGACGGCGACGATTACGACATAAATCCAACACACAAAACAACCGTGAACAATGGCCCTGACCCATTCCTTAATCTTCTAAGTTTTACTTTTTAGTCCCTTTGGTTTTTGGGCATCTAAAGTCTTCATCCTTTACATTCAAGATTTAACAATTTTAGTCCCTCATTAAAATGTGAACTATAGATGATGTACAAGGCATCAAGAGGGAACCCGGCCAATAGGTTGTATTAGTATTGAGAATAATAATACTCCCCAACTTAAAACTATCATAACATAATGGTATCTGAAGAACAAGAAGAATACCGATAGAATGCCTAGTGGATGTGTGGGATAAAGATATAAGAACCGTGAACAACAAATAGCGAGACACAAGAACCAAATTACATAATTGAATTCCGTTCTTATCTGTAAGCTTTGTTCTGTTGAAGAATAAATGCTAGTGGACCTAGTGTCCGTCCTATGGTTTTGAATGTCCTGAGCGCGGAGTAAAAAATGCCCCTAATCCAAGAAACGGATAACACATTTTTAAGAGATTTGGAACCTAGCTCGAACTCTCTTATAGATTTATAAAGGGATGCTACCTTTCTCGGGGGAGAGAATAGATCCAAGGCAAAAAGGAATCTCGAGATTGGATCTAAACCATAGAATCACTTGCATGGTGCACCAACATGATTTTGTATTTAACGACTATGAATAGTTAGCAGTTGAGGTACATAATTAACATATCATGAGAACCTCTCCATTCATTGTTGACTAATTGTTTTACAAACCCTTGTATTTTCTCTTTTTCTTGTCCACTCTGGGTTTGTTATGAGTTAGATCTTTAGAAGTAATAAAAAATAGTAGCCTCGTTTACTTATTTTTACAGTAGAAAAAAAAACATTTACAAAGCAACAAACACATAAACACAGTTACGTACATCACCCTTTTATTTTTGAGTACTGGTCCAGTTAACAAGTATCCGTTAATAATAATCAAACAACAAATGATGTAAAGACAATATCAATCATAAAATATTAAGACACAAATATATATAGTTATGGCACGAAAGTGAGACATCGAGATTTAACCAAATAAGCAAATTAGTTAAATACGCGAAATAGGTTTTAAGAAATCACTCAAATGGTCATATCATCAAAGATAACAACAAATAAACATCAAGAAAATAAGAAAGAAACATCAAGATTCAAGGAAAATAAGCAAATCAGATAACTAGACAAGCAAATAAGAAACTAAAAAGGAAAACACTTTGGTTTAACCTTAAAAGAAACTAACTGTAATTTGAGAACTGAGAGTGAGAGCCGAGACCAGAGGTTAGCAGATGAGTCAAGGTGAGAGCCAGAGAGATAACTGCCAAGAGAAAGGGTGGGCACTAGTAGCACTGTGCGTCGTAGGTGAGGGACAGAAGGCCAGTCGTGAATCATGAGGACAAAGGTGAGAACGAGAGGCTAAGAGAAGTAACATTTTTTGGGGAAAAAATCAAATAATGAGCTTACTAACCCTATTTGACTGTCGGCCTGTGATGCCCTCTGGGCTTTGATGCCCTGAGCCACCGCCCTCTTCGTCCAATACTAGGGCCACCCATGAGTATACCTATGGTTTTCATTGCAATGGTGCAAGGTGTTGTCCGAACTTCCTTATCTTGTATACTGTAGGAAGACATGAAAAGCATGTCATAAACCAAAAAAATGTCGACCTGTTAACTCCTTTTTTTATGACTAAATTTCATCTCTTGCTGTTTCCCCCTTCTGGTCTCATAGTTTAGACATTCATCATTAGAGAGGTAATAAACAGTGAGTCATCATTACTTGATTTCTACGTGTGATATGCATGTTTGGATAATCTCATCATCACCCCTTACCCCCTAGTTTGAGCGACACAATTTATTCCTAATCATCAGCCTAAGGTCATATAACAACACAAGAGTGGTAACAAACACTTTGGTGTCAGTTTGAATGGTTTGAGGAACTTTGGCGCCATAATCTAAGAAACCCAAGAACGATGCATCGGTTTTTTATAATTAGATACCAACCATATAAAGATTTCAGTTGTTTCTTATGTGGGAATAATAGTTTTATCTCACATAATCAAACATATTCCTATTCATGGCACAATACAGTCAATAAATACAATTTTCAATCAAATTACGTTATGTGCTTTATAACTGATATATGAAGTCTAAAAGACAACCTCTCGTGCTGCAATTTGTGTTTCCGGTTAAGAAGGCTCGAAGATGGAGTTTATAACCAAGGAAACAAGATTATAACAAGCTAGTTAATATTATTTCTTTTTGAAGCACAAGCTAGTTAGAAATGTATTCATTGCATATCACACAAATTTGAGGGACTGAATATGCTATTTTCTTAAAGAAGATGGGGGGCAAACATCAATATTTGTAGACGGTAGTACCATGCAATATGCATATGTTTCTCCGTGTTATCCGAAAGAATTGGTCAATTTGCAATTAGTCCTCCTTTTTACATAATTTACAGCTGGTATCCTTTTGAAAATAGAAAGTTGCACAAGACCCTCTATTTATTTTATAATACTATATATAGATCAATATTTGAGTCCTTTTTTTTTTTATTAACCTGATTTCGACCCGCTATGCAAGCCGACTAATCTCAGGACGATCATCTGCTTTGTAAGTACCGCATTTGAACCTCCGTGGCCACAAGAAGATTTTTGTTCCTCCTTGAATTTGAACCTGAAACATCCAGACACTTTTAACCTTTGAGCCAAACTCAAACCAATCAG